TTATACAGTGGGATGCAAAAGTCTGGGCAGCCTTGTTCATAGTCATTATTTTCCTGCATAAATAGTTGTTACAATAAAAAATGTCAGTAAATATATCACATAGGAGACACACACAGTGATGTTTGAGAAGTGTAGGAAGTTTACTGGATTTACAGAAAGTGTGCAATAATTGTTTAAACAAAATCAGGCAGGTGCATAAATTTGGGCTCCACAAAAAAAGAGATGAAATCAATATTTAGTAGATCCGCCTTCTGCAGAAATCACAGCCTCTAAACGCTTCCTGTAGGCTCCACTGAGAGTCTGGATTGTGGTTGAAGGTATTTTGGACGATTCCTCTTTACAGAACATCTCTAGTTCATTCAGGTTTGATGAGCATGGACAGCTCTAACTCACACCACAGGTTTCAATAATATTCAGGTCTGGACTGAGATGAACGTTGTACTTGTTCCTCTGCATGAAAGCTTTAGTGGATTTTGAGCAGCGTCTCGGGTCGTTGTCTTGTTGAAAGATCCAGCCCCGGCGCAGCTTCAGCTTTGTCACTGATTCCTGGACATTGGTCTCCAGAATCTGCTGATACTGAGTGGACTCCATGTGTCCCTCAATTTTGACGAGATTCCCAGTCCCTGCACTGGCCACACAGCCCACAGCCTGATGGAACCACCACCATATGTTACTGGAGGCAGCAGGTGTGTTTTTCTTGCTGTGTTCTGTTTCCTCCATGCACAACGCCCCTTGTTATGCCCAAATAACTCAATATTAGTTTCATCAGTCCACAGCAGCTTATTCCAGAATGAAGCTGGTTTGTCCAAATGTGCTTTAGCGGCTCTGTTTGTGCTGTGGGCGGAGCAAAGCCTTCCTCTGCATCACTCTCGCATGCAGCATCTCCTTGTGTAAAGAGCACCGAATGGTTGAACGATGCACAGCGACTCCATCTGCTGCAACATGATGTTGCAGGTCTTTGGTGCTGGTCTGAGGGTCGACTCTGACTGTTCTCACCGTCGCTTTTGTCTATCCGAGATGTTTCTTGGTCTGTCACTTTGAGCCTTAACTTGAACTGAGCCTGTGGTCTTTGATTGTCTCAATATGTTCCTAACTGTGGA